ATTGTTGTTGTTGTTTGTTTATACCCCAATTTTAAGAGAGATTGATGTGATGTTCGCAATATATGACTCAAAAGGTAATAAGAACTACAGAGGTTCCCTGAACAGTATAACTCATAACTTATATTACAATGAAATTTAAAATTAATTTCTACAATAAATTAGAATACAATTCTTAATTTACAATTTCATTTTTTACTGAAATGAATGCTATACTTTGTCATTTTCTGTTTATGTTTAAAATAGTATAAAATTGTTTGAAAAATAATTGTTTTAAAACGTTATCTCCCTTGTAAATTGAAAGAATGAAGTAGTCTTTGTACTTTGTTTACTTTTTTTCACAGTTATTAGTTGCTATGCTTATATAAGAAAATACGGAATCTGGACAATTTTAACGACCGTAATGGTTTTTTCCGACGGGAAAAAAAAAATTTCATTACCCTCCAGGGTCAGTCGACGACCTCCCAAAGTATCAGGGCAAGTTTTTTATTTATAGCTCATGTAAGAAGAATTTCACTCTTGGTCACTTTTTAGCCCTTGCCGTGCGAGCAGAGGCTGACCCATAGTTTATCCATAAGGCCGATTCATTTACTCAGCTCTATGCAAAAAATGAGCCAGGTGTACAGGGCCAAAGTTCCAAAACATTGTTTTGAAAAGAGTCATCATTTTTCAGAAAATTAACAATGTTTATATAGGGAAATTCAGACCGGTCAGTTCTAAGGGTCTTCCGGAGTTTTCAGGAACATATTTTTTTTTTACCACCCCCGAGGGTCGGTCTACAACCTCAAAAGTTATGAAGAATTTTTTCTATATATAGCTCATATAAGACGCCAGTCAGTCAAGGTCAGTTTTGACCCCCTCATCGTGGACTTTTCGGCCAACCGGGGGTTATTATCCTTAACGAGCTACTAATAGTGTTTTGAAGCAAATATTTTCAGTGGCAGCGTGCAATTCCCAAATTATGAATTACTGAAAAGTAGAAAATAAAACAACTAAACAGCGGCATATGATACGCCGCAGGTCGGCTCGTAAATATATATTTTAGCCAATAACATAGCTAAACAAACAAAGATTTCAATAAAGTAATTAAGGCCTGAAATAGTTTAGTATAGAAATTTATTATTGGAATAGATTCTAGATCTACGTAGGGTCGGAGTGGTCTAGCGGTAGAGAGCTGGACTGCTAACCCTTAAGTCTCGAGTTCGAATCCTGGTTCAAGTCAGTAGACCGTCCCTGAGTCCACCCAACTCTGATGGGTACCTAACTCACATTAGGGAGAGTAAAGGCAGCTGGGCATAGTGCTGACCACACTATCTCTTCATATGCAGTGGTCACAGAAACAAGTGAACTCTACTTCACTTGCCCCATAGACCGTCAGGTTTGAAAGGGAAACTTTACTTTACTTTACTAGGTAGGGTCTAGATCTGTCTAAGTCTAGTTTTCCCGTAGATCTAGATATTCTAGATCTAGAATATCTAGAGTACTGTTTCAGATAGATAAATGAAATTTCACAAGTAAGTACAATATCTAATTCTCTGCCTACTGTCAAATTTTAAGTTATTTTCGTTGACCGGAAGTAGTTATTTACGCTATTTCCGATTTCTCAAAACGCTTGTGAATTTATAAAGTATTAATAATATTCTGCACTATTATACACAGATTGTGTGCGCAATTCTTTTTTCTATGAGATTCTATTCTACTTTTAAAAGTTTAAGTAATTAAAAATGGATTAAAAATATTGTCTATATCCCAAGTTGCCATCCCACATAGTGTTATATAAGAATATTCGAGAAAGTTTAGGGGAGATCACTCCCGGTTTATTTATAAATAAAAATAAAAGTAGATTATGAAATTGCCCCGGGTTACTCCATATACGATAAAGTAAAAACTCAAATATTTATCCAGTAAAACACAAAATAGTTTACATAACTTACAACCTTTTTTTTTAAACTGAGACTTGACTGTCATTTTCCCGCGTCTCTCTGAAATCTCTGAAGAACATTAATTCATTTGTTAATGGTTTTATTATAAATATAAGACACATTTTCATAAAAAGACAAAAACCTGCTTAAAATGAATGGCAGTGACTGTTTCAGTGGAAAGATAAAATTAAGTTCCAGTATAAGGATAAAAAACAAAATATGTTGCAGTAACGACCTGATTTGCTACAAACCAGAATATGACCAGCCCTTGAAAAATAAAGTGTGTCTTATTTGACAATTATTTTACTAATATAGCAAACATCTAAAATCTTTAAAAAGTTTCTGTTAATACTAAAATAACAGAAGAATCTTTTAAATTTCACAATTTAACAAAATTGGAATGAAAATATTTTTTAACATTAAACTAATTCTAACTAAGAGAGATTATTTGCACTAGATCTAGTTTTTAATTTTATGATATCTTAACTTTTAAAAGATGCACATGGTTTCTATATTTTTTTTATGTAATCCTGATTGAAATTTTAACTTTGTAGCTTCTCTGATAGACAATGAGAAAGATTAAATTGGGATTGTAGTTAACTATTTTTAATAGATTTTAAAAGTGTTTTGGAAATAAAACTTGAAAAGAAACATTTCAGCCATAGCTGATCATTTTGATGGTAGCTACATCATTTTTTATGCTTGAAGAATAGCCATAGACTGCTTTTAAAAACTGCTGGTATTGTATCCTCCCCCTAGTCCAGGGTCACTTTGTGTGCAAAATATTTTAGAAATCAGTAGGCCTTTAGCACACATCATAGCATGAACAATCTTCAATAGAGATCGAAGGTGACACTACTTTATTTTTAACCCAAGATGTAGTATCAAAAAACATCAACCTCAGGGTCACTGTGATCTTAGAAATCAGTGGCCATTTTTACGAGACGGATCAATCTAGTTCTAACTATCACCATTTACTAAGATTTTCAAAATTAAATAGAAAGCAGCAGGTAAAGGTGGTAGCAAACAGTTTAAAAACGAAGTAATTTAAAAATACCTGTAGATATATCTAACCTACCACACATGTGAGGTAAGCAATAAAGAAACTGAGTTTAGGGATATACATTTCTTTTATAGCACAGCAACATTAAAGAATATTTTTTCCTTTTTTTTTTGTGTACTTGATTTGTAGAATTCAGGGAACATTTTGGACTGAAAATTTAATTCTGAAATCTGCCAAAGTTCAGAAAAATCAATCCATGGTAAACTGAGTTAATAGACAAACAATTTTTAATGAGACTACAAAATGTCAAGGGTATCTTTTTTACGCATGAAATATTAACGCGTATTTACTACTACAGTTTTCAAATTGGTTGATTATCTTTGGTTGTTTACATATCATTTACAGTTTAATTTTTAGATAAGACAGAAATGCGACTAGACCTTTTAAAAAAAAATGCTTTATACAGTTCACTTACCAAGATAATATATTCTCATAAATACTAAATAATTGCTTAATATATTTATCATCCCAAAGAAAAAAAAGGTTCTATTATAATTACACTTTAAGTCCCTTTTCCTTTTTGAATAAAGTAATTGTATTTACTTTCTTTAAGAAAATAATCAGACAGAATAAAATACCCAGTTGGTCTTGACAATCCTCCCATTGATCAGAGTCTACATCTGAATTAAAATCAGTTGTTGCAGTATTTTCTGTTTTTGACAATAAAATATTAGTTTGCATTATGATGTAGAAGCAATGAGTAGTTATAAGTAAGGATCTGAATAGCAAATAAGTTGAACATATATAAAAACTACAATAAACTAACACAGCGTTTACACTTACGAGCTGTATACTATACATTTCTAGAACACAAAGCTGGCCCAAAGTTAATTGTATCTGAAAACATTTTGTCCACAGAACATGTATACTTCAGCGTTCACAGTTACAGAACATGTTATTTAAAACATTTAATAAAACAAGCATGACCTTTGACCTGGAGCCTCTGCTATAGCCTAGCCTATAGGCCTAGATAATTAAAAGAAAAAGTAATCAAAGTTGTTTTTTTTAAAGCGTAGATAGTGGGCACGTAATTTTATTATTTAAAGGAAAATTGTGTAGCCATGGTGCTTACAATTAATAGTAAATGATATAAAAATTAGAACATGCAAGATTTTAGAAAGTTTATCGGAGTGTGAGCAACTGAACTAGAAAGTTTTTATAATGTTATGCATAATAGCACTGGTCTAAGACATCTGCTATAACCCTCCTCCTCCCATCCTGCAGTACAATCACCGCTTCCCTCCCTACCCCCAACCCCATGGTAGCTGTTTCCCCAGCTTCCTGTCACTTTACGATACTTAGTAACTGGAGAAGCGTTTAGTTTTATGTACCTTCTCAGAGTGTCCAAAATTAAAAAGTTTTTAAAAAACTCCATTCACTACTTGGGTGGAGAGAAATGTTTTGCTACAATGCTTTTTATTTGCCAAGTTCATTAAAAATATTGAGATCGAGTTTCTTAATGTTAAACCTAAATAATTAGCCTTTGATTTTATCTGCCTGTTTTTATAGTCAGTACAAACGTGATCCCACAAGCACCTTCTGGTGGGCCTATAGATTTATTCCTGTCTGACAGGAACTGGGAATATGTTCATGCACTTAAAACAAAATAGTGGTCAAGGAAAAATTGGAGATAAATTTGGTTGAATTATATTTTTATAATTAATTATTATTTATTTAATTACAACCTAAACTGGTTTTAACATAAAACTGTAAAGCATTAGGCATTAAAATTTTTCATTAAAACATGTTTGGCATTTAATTAAAGAAATAATAAGTAATTATAAAAATGTAATTTTTAGTAGGGTCTAGAGAAGTTATAAATTTTGAAATTGTGTGCTCAAAAACTCAAGATCAGTATACTTAAGATAATTTTGCAAGCAGCTGAGAGATAGGAATTAGGATTAGGTCTGGGATGCGCTTACTACATTTTGACGCATGCGCACTCATCTGAAAATTCAGAACATGTCCTATGTTTTGCTACAATGCTTTTTATTTGCCAAGTTCATTAAAAATATTGAGATCGAGTTTCTTAATGTTAAACCTAAATAATTAGCCTTTGATTTTATCTGCCTGTTTTTATAGTCAGTACAAACGTGATCCCACAAGCACCTTCTGGTGGGCCTATAGATTTATTCCTGTCTGACAGGAACTGGGAATATGTTCATGCACTTAAAACAAAATAGTGGTCAAGGAAAAATTGGAGATAAATTTGGTTGAATTATATTTTTATAATTAATTATTATTTATTTAATTACAACCTAAACTGGTTTTAACATAAAACTGTAAAGCATTAGGCATTAAAATTTTTCATTAAAACATGTTTGGCATTTAATTAAAGAAATAATAAGTAATTATAAAAATGTAATTTTTAGTAGGGTCTAGAGAAGTTATAAATTTTGAAATTGTGTGCTCAAAAACTCAAGATCAGTATACTTAAGATAATTTTGCAAGCAGCTGAGAGATAGGAATTAGGATTAGGTCTGGGATGCGCTTACTACAGATTTATTCCTGTCTGACAGGAACTGGGAATATGTTCATGCACTTAAAACAAAATAGTGGTCAAGGAAAAATTGGAGATAAATTTGGTTGAATTATATTTTTATAATTAATTATTATTTATTTAATTACAACCTAAACTGGTTTTAACATAAAACTGTAAAGCATTAGGCATTAAAATTTTTCATTAAAACATGTTTGGCATTTAATTAAAGAAATAATAAGTAATTATAAAAATGTAATTTTTAGTAGGGTCTAGAGAAGTTATAAATTTTGAAATTGTGTGCTCAAAAACTCAAGATCAGTATACTTAAGATAATTTTGCAAGCAGCTGAGAGATAGGAATTAGGATTAGGTCTGGGATGCGCTTACTACATTTTGACGCATGCGCACTCATCTGAAAATTCAGAACATGTCCTATGTTTTTAATCAGTGAGCGAAAACAAAAACTTGAACAAGAACATAAAAAGGGGCGTGGTTTTGTGCCCTGTGACTCAGAAGTTGTTCCATATACCCATAACATGTTTAGTATACACGTAAGTAGGTCAAGTCTAGTATACATGTCATTAGTGTAAACTCAGTGTAATACCGCGTTTACACTTGCGACATGTATAGTATACATAAAACTTCGCTACAGGGCCTAAGATAATAGGGGAGCCTACTCACTTGTTGCGAAGTTTTTTCCTAGAAATGTATAGTATACATGTCGCAAGTGTAAACGCGGTGTAAAAATTTCTTACATGTGCACTAAAAAAGAATACAATAAAAATGAACACTAACTGATGTTATTTCTATTGTGCAAATAAAAAAGTAGTCTACTTACTGTGGGTTTGTGAATTGCTAAGTTGATATTTTTCATGACTTTTTGTTGTAAAATTTACTGAACTGGGACTTTGAAAAGGTTCTTCTGCCTTTTTACTGCATAAAAAGGTTAGTTCAAAGCTTTTTTTTAACAATTCTTGCTGTTCTTGTAAGAGAGCAGCTTGCTGCTGTAGAAAAAGTTCTTGTTGTTGCTTTTGTTTCTCTAAAAAATTGTCTAAACTTGCCCTTTGCTTTTCTAAAAACTCTTGATTCTGTTTTTCAAAATTATCATTTAGAAGTTTTTGTTGTAAATTTAGTGCAGCCAGATTAGCATCAACTTCTTCTGGCTCCTTTTTACTTAGTTTTGAAGAGCCTGACTTGGCAGACAATACATTTTCAATCTCTTGCCTTGACTGGTGTAATTTTTCAGGTTCAGAATTAGGATGTTCAAAAGAATATCTTCTGATGTCACTATCAGCTTCAGGCACTCCAATGATTGATTCCGCTAGACAATAAATGGACACAGTGATATAGTTTTTTAAAATAAAAAAGAAGAAAATAACTTGACATGTTATATGCTATGCTTTTTTCTAACAAGAATAGTTACCACTATTATTTTATCTTGAGCCATATTTACTACTTTAATGAATAGGTTCAACATGGCTTATCCATAACTGACAGGCACAATGACATTTCTAATTAGTTTATTAAAATTACTACTAACGAAAAAATAAAAATTCTATGAGAAAAATCAAATTATTTTGCTTAGTTAGAGGATAACTAAAATGTGGCCTAAAGAAAATTGCAAAGTTGAACATGATTCATGGAGCCAGGTGTGTTGGTTTACCAAAAGTAGTTCCTGACAAATAGGGCATGATCATCTCTCCTTTTGGGAGCATTTTATACAATTTTACCAATTAAAAACTTTTCTTTGTAAAAAAAACTTATTATTTTAAAACTTTTAACTGAAAGAGGATAGTTGTTTTTAAATACACATCTATAGCCTATGCCAAAATGTTTAATACGTTCTAATGTCATTTGCATGCCAAAAATAATTTAGTTTTAAGAATATTATTTATTTAAAACTACTGTGTTGGCATAAAAACAACAGTTTTTGTATTAAAGATAGGATTGAAATTAGCAGACTAAAGAAACATACAAAAAACAAGCAGAATTAAACAAATTGATAATTTCCATTTTAATATATACCTTTTTTTACTTTAATAAATACGATGAAAACCTTTATACTAGTTTAAAAATGAAAATTGTATGCCTATTTTAAATATAGGGAGCTTAAGTTACCTTAAGCGCACAATGTTACTAATATACCTTTTAATGCTGAGACTCCTCTTCCTCTGCCTGTTGGTGTCAATGCTTTTTTATCTGTCTGACTTGAGGGTGTTGGCAGCTTTGAGCGCACTTGTGTTACAGAATAATCATATACCTTACTGCTGCTAGAACCCATTGGTTGCAAGCCAGACATCTGTGCAGCTTTTGAGGGCGCAAGAGGCATTTTGCGAAAAGTTGTTTCAGAGCTATCTTCATTTTTTTGTTTGATTTCGCTTGTTTTCTGCTTGTAAATTGATGTGGCACTATTAGGAGCCCCAAATTCATCATTTCTGTTGAAATAATAAAGTTTTTTGATGAGTTAGATGAACTAGGTCCTGATGGAATTTCACTGAGGTGACTAAGCAAGCAAAAGTAAGAGTAGCAGACTCTCACATTTAAAAGTTTCAGAGTAATCATCAGAGTAAGGCTTGGATTTGTGGTATGGGGTTACCACTTATACAGCTTTAGTTTTCTGAGTGATCCAAAGGAAAGTGCAAGCCAGTGCAACGTGGCATTGAAAGTCCACAAGATTTTCAAAAATAACATTGGGTACAAGGCCTGGCCACACTGAGAATACCGGAATTTCTTTTCAATTTGCACATTTGAAATATAGAAATAGAAAAAGCAGAGCATATTTATTGAAAGCTTGATTTTGAAACAATACTTCTGGTACTAACCCTTGCAACCCCAACATAATTTTTGCTTTGAGTTCCCTCAGCCCTGGAGATTATTAAGAGATTACTCAAGATTATTCCGAAGATAATTTTGCCATGAACCCAAATCTCAAAACGGTTGAAAAAAATGTTATGCTTTATTTTGAAACATGACATATAGAGAAATATTGAATGGAACTGAATAGATAAAAAAATAGATAAAATTCGCACCAGGAAAAATGTTTTCAGAGTTTTTTTATCTGGACATATATAGTATACATGTCACAAGTGTAAACACAGTGTGTGTCCTAATAGCAGCTGGTAAGTGAAACCAAATAAATGGTGATACTGTCATCTAGATTTGGTGTTAATAAGTCAATAAAATACTTTAAAAATTTTTTTTAAAAAACCACGTTTTTCTTGTGGACTAAAAAGTAGAAAATAAATTTTTCTTTTGTGCTTCCTCGAGCTGTGCAGATTCTTGTGATGACTGACAAAAAACGTGGGTACGTTCACCATCAAATTTCCCGACCCATCTGCCCGACCCACGTTTTTTGTCAGTCATCACAAGAATCTGCACAGCTCGAGGAAGCACAAAAGAAAAATTTATTTTCTACTTTTTAGTCCACAAGAAAAACATGGTTTTTTTAAAAGTTTTTTTTAAGTATTTTATTTTCTCCTTTTTAGTCCGTTGCTACACATGAAAAACGTGGTTTTTAAAAAAGTTTTTTATATAGTTTATTTTCTACTTTATCTAATGACTTGATTAAGTATGACTTGACTAAGTGTTTATAAATACACGGACTAAAAATCTTGAGCGACCAGGATTCGAACCTGGGTTGTCGCGGCCACAACGCGAAGTACTAACCACTATACAATCACGGCCAGCGCGCTCACATCGATTGGGGCCGAAGTAACTGTGTCAATAGGCCTCCAGTCTTGTCGGTATCTTTAGAAATCATGTCCTCAATTTTATGGTCCTTGGGGCGTAATTAAATTAAGCTAATTACGGTCTCTAATTGCTAGTTTTTATGATTGCATCTGAAATTGTTAGGCGAAAGTAGCCTGCATGCCAAATTTCAGATCTCTAGAGCAATCAGAAGTGGGCTAATTTTCGATGTCAATTTTAACAACAAACAAACGCGAAGCTGAGTTAATAAAAATGTGTTAAAAAGGACTGGACAAACTGTTAGTGTGATTCAAGTTCTAAATGTTTTCACCTGGATTTAAAGAAGAACTATTTAGTTTAATGACAAAATTATCATCAAACACATTTTATTCTATTTGACTATTCATTCTTTTGAATAAATACTCTGCCCAGCACTGTTGTGAAAAGTTACATCCTTTGTTTTATATTTCAATTTAGTACCCTAGTTTTGTTGAACTTAACAAGAATGAGAGAATCAGAAAATTGAATTGCAAAATCCCAGCATTGTTCAGGTATAACAGGAGACTAGTAATAATATAAAATGAGATAAATGGACCGTTGAGGAAGGATACAACGGGCGATAGTGTTGTCTCTTTTCTCAAAACCAAAGCCAAAGCTACCACCTAAACCTCAAATTGAACCAGAAACGAAAAATGACATTGAAAACAGATTTTTATCCAGAATCTGCATTTTAATTAGTTTTAAGCTTGATCTACACGTAGTTACTGCGCATTGATACTAAATATAGTCGTATCCATACCCCTAAACCTTGCACTTTGTCTCAATCATGACAAAAGTCGCATTTAGAGTTTCTTTCCGGTGACTCTACTTACGGGTAGGGATTCCAACCACCCCCACCCCGCCCCACACACACCCCAAGGCACGTCTACTGTCCCATTCTACGAAACAGAATTATATACTGTTATCAGTGTCCCTCCCTCTCAGAAAATTTCGTCCATGCCTACCCCCCGAAAATTTCAAGTACCCACATCTCTGGGGAGGGAAAAGTCTGGAAGGAACAATTATGGAATTTGTAGATTATACAAACTAAAGGTAAAGCCTACTTCTATATATAGACTCGTTTTCAACTTTTGGCTGATAAACATCACTCATTTAGACAGTGCTTCTTTCAGACATTTTTCCGGGGTGGGGCACTTGAATTTTTGCATGGGCGAAAACAATTGTCCGGGGCGGGGGAAGCCGACACTGGTAAAAGTTTATATTTTCTATACAAATTATATTTAGTTTTTTTCGGAGGGGGGAAATTAGTCGTACTACCGCGGGGGTGGGGGGGGGGGGGGGGGGGGGGGGGGGTTTGCCAAGAGATAAATGATAGACATTGTGCACACTACTTTTAAGATTAGACACATGAATTAGGCTGTAATGTCAGTCTTATAGATGAAGTCATTTCTTTTGAGGGGGGGGGGGGGGGGGGGCGGCGCTGCTTAAACATTCTTTAGGGCGGGGGGGGGGGGGGGGGGGGGGGGGGCCTTCGCCCATACCCGATTAATTGCATGAAAGAAACTCTGCAAGCAAACCACTTTTAAGATTAGACAAAATAGGCATTTCAATTCAATGTTTACTCGAGAATCAATGATGTCATATTACTGTGTGCACTCTCCGGTTTTTGACTACTTTCTACTATATGCTCCATGTGACATCACATTTCATTTCCCGAATTACTATGCATGTTTTTACTCTGCTTGTGTTTTCTCTATAGCGTTCTTGATAGATAGAAAAATAGATACATAGACAGACAACGAAACTATTATTATAGGTATGATATTTGATATCCTTTTATTTTAACTGAAAAGGCATGCTTGGATTTACCCTTTTAAATTACACTATACTATAAATAACAAATGCAACATTAAACTAAAAATGTGTGATATGCTCATTTTTTTGCACATTTCTAAAAAAATGCATGATATAAATATAACAATTTAATTTATTGTGAACTTACGGATAATTTTTTGCAAACATTCCTCTTTTCTGAAAACTTGGTGCTATTAAAGAAATAATATTATGGTTAATGTACATAAGCACAGTTCTTTTTTACTTTGTGTTTAATTCCATTATAATATGGTACATAGAATAAACATGTTTCCCAAAAAGATTACTGCTATGACGTCCACACAGGGGGTGGGGGGGTGTGGGGGTCCGAAAAAAAATTGACTTTTGAGGACATATGTAGGCTGGGGGGTTGGGTCAATGTAGACATCTACATGCGGAATCAAACCACAAAATTAAATTTGATAATTTTAAAAAATAAATTTAAAAAATGCATATGATATGTAGATTATACATTAAGTCTGCAGTTCTTGTGGTAAGAGCAGAAAATACATACCAGAGGCCCAATCCTCTGTTGTTTCCTCTGAGTGGCATTTGACTATTTGAGGCCCTACTACATCCCCAGTATTTAATTTTCCTTCACTTGCATAAACTGTGAAAATTTAGAGTCATAATAATTAAAGAGCTCAGCACATAACATTTTAACGGTTGCAATGAATATTTTTTAAATATTCAGAAAATAACATTAATTAGTTAAGATTTAAACATTGACTTCTTATTGTAATTTCACTTACCACATAGTGTTCAAATAAATTTAAATATTGTAATGGTGAAATTGTATTTTGCTTTCAAGCATTATATTTTTGTTGGTTGAAGTTATTTAATATAACTGGAAATATGCATCAATTTTATGAATACTTACATTGTATATCTCTGTCAATTACAGATCTGCTTGGACATTCACTCAAATGATGTTTGAGCTCAGGCTTTGGAATAATATGAGTTTTATCAAACTTGCAAGCTACTTTGCTGACCTTTCCAATGTTGTTCTGAATGATGCAACAAATTAACTTAAAGCAGATATCATAGTTGCACATACCAGCTTTAAACTTGACACTTAACTAGATGTTTTTTTTTAATTCCTAGCTGTACAACAAATATAAAATTACTGCTACTTACTAATTCTTTTTTGCAAATAACAAAAAAGAATATGATTATATAGATAACTTTAAAGTCTTCATGCCCAAAACAAACTTTAAAGAATGCTTAATGGATTTAGAAATAAGTATGGGTTTAGGTAGTGGTCATTTTGGCGAATGATAACAGGAAATAAGCAACATGCTTAGATCCTCTCACATCCAGTCAAGAATATATCTCCTTTCAAGGATGAGAGAAAATAAGCACAGTGTTTATTTTCTTAACAGGGTGTGAAAGGATACAAGTGCATTGCAGATTTCCTGTATGGTTGGCATCTATAATTTTCTATAGTATTATAACTACCAGGTTTAAAAGAATGTGTATATTAACACAGACAGCTACATGAAAAACTCACCTCTCTGCACTTGATAAGATGCGCTTGAAACGATTTTTTTTGAACATTGTGAGTTGTGTCATAAGGACAAACTAATGTATCATCTCCTCTGTTATAACTTATCATTTCTGGAAGTTAAAAAAATAATCTTCTTTTTCTCAATTACAGTTTTAAGTTTTTATTGCAGGTCTTACTTAGGCAATAAGAGCTCTTCAACTAAAGGCTTTAAATTTGGCATACTGATTCAGTGTAGTCTTATCTACATAATGTTTGAATGTATGGTAATTGGGAAAATTCTTGAAAAAAATATATTAATACTTTTAAGTTTAAAAATATCTAATTTTTGAGGACGTCATAAATGCATGAACCCTTATTAGTTATGCTTATATTATACTTAGGCTATAACTTTAAAAATTCATTAAAAACGTATTAGGCTAATCTAGAAGGACAATTTTCTATATAAGCAGCACAGAATTTCAGGTAGGCCTAATCAGTAATCTCCCAGCATAGCGTCAGTTATCATTCCGGAATTGTATAACAATAAAAGATAGTAAAACAATAACGTAGTGGGTCACACCGTTCTGGAATCCACCAAAAGCACTGAAAACCATACTATATTTGAATATTTAGTGCATTTTTTTATTTTAAATAGGCCCTACAGAAATTTTGATAGATTGATTTTTAATCTTAATGTTTCTAATTTTTCTGTTTTCTTTTGTCGATTAAATTTAAAATTAAGTTAAAACATTAATTTAGTTATTGGTACAATCATCTTTAGGTAAAACCTTAGTTTAGCATCGTAAATTCGGCCAAAACTAGTAATGTGGGGGAGAGTGAATTAATGAATAAATCTTTAAATATGAGTATATTTTCGTATATATTTTAATAAAATATTATAATATTAGATCAACAGTTATGGTTAAATCAATTTAAATATCCTGAAATTAATTTTAATCAACCCTGTTCGAGATAGTAAATTTGCTATTAAAAATAGCAGCCATCTTGAGAAATTATTATTTAGAGTATTTTCATATGAAAATGTATTTTAATATGATTGTCTTGTATTTGTATAGGCTTACAAAGCATTTTTTTTTTACAAGCTTTTATTTAACTCACTTCCTCTGTCTGTCGTCAGTCTAGATCGAAACACCCAATATAATTGACAGATACGGTTCGTAGTTGGTATGTGGGTGAAGACACATCCTAATTGGATGCCTAATTAATTTTTTATGAATTAATTAAAATTTCGACCAAATTAGTAGGCAGTCTTATCCAACTATTCCACACTATTAGACACGGGTCAGCACGTTCAATAGGGCGCCATCATGTTCAATAGGTGCGCAATGGTTTTTAGTCCTGTAACTCTATTGTAAATAAAACATGTAAAGTACTGGAAAATTTTAAAAAAAAAAAACGTTTTAATAACAAGCGTTTATGTAATAATGCACTAAAAAGTAGAAAATAAATTATACACTATTTAAATAACCATAAAGACAAGCATGGGTCTCTTCTCAAATATTAGTAAAGGTATCCAATAGGTACTAAAGTGACCCACGCATGTCTTTATAGTTATTTAAATAGTAGTGTATAATTTATTTTCTACTTTTTAGTGCATTATTATATAAAAGCTTGTTATTAAAAGAGTTTTTTTTAATGAAATTTTTTTTTTACACTCTGCCCTTTAAAAACTGAATTTACTAACAAACAACATCATCACTTCTAGAAGTATTGTGGTATGTAACATGTATCCATGTATAAAATCACGTTTTTTTGTACTAATGTTTATTTGATCATTACTATACAGTTTGAGTTTTTTCTTATTATTTGAATGTTCGCTATTTTCATGGCGCCCGCTGAACGATTCGTATGTGCCCACCTCTCACTATTCGACAGAGACAGAATTTTTTTCATAAACATTATTTTAAAATATGATTTATTTTTATTCATTTGTTACAGTTTTAATTTTTTTTTTTTGACTACCTAGGTTTATTAAATATGTTCGATACTTGTCCCAACTTGTCTAGCGGCGAGCCAGACTGCACTATTTACGCTAGCCTGGAAGTAAGAAAGAAAAAAAATTGTAATCTAAAAATCAAGTCTAACAGCACAACAGACTGTTTTCACTAGACGTGGAAAATTCTAAAAAGGCCACTATTGGTTCTTTCAAAATATCTCACATGCTCGCAAAAAAGAAGAAACCTTTCATTGATGGTGAGTTGTTTAAGGAACTATTTTTGACTGGTGCCGATTAATTAAATGTTTTCTTTGTATTTATGTGTTTTGTTTACTTTCTTTATGTTTTGTAGATACATTTCTCTGAGTGTATGCAATTTGAAAAAAATGCCAAATAATTTTATTATTTTGAAATATTTTTGTTTATTATTTATTAATACATTATGACTATAAGAAAATAAATTATGGGAAAATGACAAGTTATGGAAGGAGTTTGTCGATTTAAAATAGGTGGTGCCCGCCACCCTACCGATATTTTGGAATGTGCTCTAGAGTAAAAAAAAGGTTGGGAACCCCTGGTCTAGAGACTAGTTCTTACGTTTTTACTAGTAGAATTAACTGGAGTCAAGGGAGAAACAGAAAATGGTAAAATCACGATATAGCATCGGTTATTATTCCGGAACTGTACAGCAGTAAAAAACAGTAAAACCATAGTGTAGTCTGTCGAGCCGTTCCGGAAACCACCGGAAATACTGTAAACCATCATTTATTTGCTGCCATATTATTTTTAATCCATAGGCCTAATGTTTTATTTTAAAAATGTGCAAGGATTGACTTTATTTGAATTTTAAATACTGTTTTGTTAATTATTTTGTATTTCTAATTATTTTAAGTGTATGTGCTAATTATTGCTGCTACTAAACATTGTTTTAGTTCTTCTTACTACTTTTCTCTTCTTCTTCGTTCTAAATTTTTAGTGTTGGGATGGATCGAGCCTTATCTGCCAGAGGGTTTGAACTCGATACTTTTTTCGAATTTATCAACTATGAGCTTTGTCGACTCGACCATGCTTCCATCACAATTAAGGATTACGTGTCAACTGGTTATGCGCCATTGAGGCCATTGACTCCAATTTCAGCCTGCTTTTCTTTTTGGATTTGCTTCCATAGCCTTTGTCCAACCAAGAACAAACTACAAGGCAGCAGTTGTTTGATTTTGGAGTTGTCTCTCCTAGAGGAGTGTCTGTCCCCAGCTAACGAGCCTCATCTGCCCGAGGGTTCGAACTCGAGACTTTTCGGTTTAGCAACCATTAGCTTTACCGACTCGACCACTCCGACCCCATTACTACTTTTAACTTTAGTAAATCTAATTGTCTTATTTTACTAACAGAACTAGAGCTACTTATTGCAAATCTTCTGCAGGTTTTTTTCTGTGTTTCTTAAAAAAAAACATTAATTACTACACTCGACTTTATTAGGCCTAATAGTTTTCTGTCAATTAAATATTAAATTAAATTCCTTGTTTTTCGGAATCCAAGTTTTTAATCGTAAATCTAGGTCATGATAACGCTAGAGCGGCCATTTTTCGTTGTATTTACTCTTTGTAGTTTTCTCGTTAGATCGATTTTGTATTGTATAGAATTTTTTTTGTAAAAAAACTCGAAAAACAGCATTTTTTAACACTACGGAAAGCCGTTCAGCTGCCGCGTCTAAACGTTTACGTCGCCGCATTATAAAATTAACGAAAATTAAAGTATTTATACTAACTTAACTAAGACTAATCCGATCCATGATTTTTGTAGATAAATGGACGTACTTTCGTTTTCTATGAATAAGAACTCATGAAAAGTTATTCTTATTATTAATTTTCCCGACAGAAGCGTAATTTTTGCACGGAAAAATCAACTCTTTATTTTTTCTTCTTTAAAACTAAGTAATTATCTTTCTTCAGTAAATAAATAATTCCTTAAAGTTTATATCAGTGTGTAGTGTATTCAATTACGATTATTTTTTATCAATCAAGTATGGGGTTTAAATTAACGGGTAAAAAGATATGGGTCATTTAGCCGCACTGGTACTGAAAAAAATGAGTGAAAAAAAATAATTCCTGTAAAACGTGAAAATAATTACGGGCTTAAAGAGTTAATGCAGGACTCTATTTTTATTTCAACGGTCAAATAAACTACTATGATTTACACTTACAGTAACAAATGTTACTGAAACTCAACAAACATTACCAGATAATTTCCGACGCTATATCCGATATCGTGATTTTACCCAGAAAATTAATTACTATACTATAGGGCCTATAGCCTAAATAGTAAATACTTATAGAAATAGATCTAGATTATTCTAGATCTAGTAATTTTACCGTGATTCACTGGACTGATTATAAGCCCAAGGTCCGACTCTTTCTTATTGAAATCCTAAGCCTACACGGTACACTGCCCTACACACTAAAGTTGACTAACGTGACTAAGTACTAGATTCTAGATTCTAAGTTTAAAGTAAAGTACACGTCACTACACTCACTGTAACACTACCGGTAGGCCTGGCTAAGGCCTAAGGCTAAGCTATTTTAATTTTTAATTCTATAGAATCTAGATCTAGATCTAACTAAATCCTAACGCTCAAACTCAATAGTGGTCTACTGTCTATAGATTCTAACTAAATCGAGAATCTACTCTAGTCTATATCTAGTTCACTAGTTCTCCATATCTATCATCTATAATAGTATTAATAGTCTAGATTTAGATCTAGAATCTAAATTTCTACTTTCTAGAGAAGCAAATAAAATGAGCAGAAAATATTGTTTGTGCTGTCTAATGACCGCAAGTTATGAATGCTAAACAGAACACAATTTTTAGATAATAACTATTATTAGTCTATTAGCAATAGTACAATCTCCGTAAAAACAATACACCAATGACCAATGCATAGGTGTAGCGACCCTTCCCGGCGCCCGGGGCGAATGTTCAATTTGGCGCCCCAATGCTCCTTAGTAGGAAACCGAAAAAAAAAAAGAAATTAAAACGAGCTTAGAGAAGTAGTTCTTAACTTGGGTTCGATCGAACCCAAGTGTTAGGTGTGTAGTATGTAAGTCTCAGAGCTTTGGCGGAGATAAGACACATACGACATGTGATTCACGATAAGATTTTGTCATTGTGGACGATAAAACTATTAAGAAGGGTTCGGTGAAAGCGCATATGTAACTGGTACGGTTCGGTACTAAAAAAAAAAGGTTAAGAACCACTGCATTAGAGTGTAGTTTGTATAAGTAGCAAGCTTCTTTGGTTTCCTTTTGGTTTTGTCTTTAGAACAATTTCGATGATAGTGTATTATAGTTTTAAATTATCAATTAGGTTGAACAAAGTGACAAAACATCATCTGTTGTCGTGTTGTACCATTTTTAGTACCTCTAGTGGCCTTAACTATATGAAAATTGCAGTATTTGTACTTGTACTTGTTATTAAACAAGCAATTAAAAATTATCTATTCGGTACAATATAGGCCTACTTATGTTTTAGCTCATATGGGCACAGATTAAGGGAGCAGTCCCAAACCGAGTCCGCTGGAAATGTGTAGTTGCAGCCCTTTGCTCCCCAGGAGCCACAAAGGAATGATGTCAATGATGATGATATGTTTTAGCTCTTAAAATTTCGGGTATTGTCTTCCGCCCGCCCGCTCCGACTGTATGCTATTTTACTGATCGGATAGCGATACAAGAGTCCGTGATATTTATTTCTCTTTAATACAGTGATCCCGGCAAGATGTATTGCAATCAAGTAAAAGTATCTGATCTCTCACGTTGAAGTTGAGAGAATCGTAAGAATCTTACAAAGAACTAGTCGCGTCATTTCTTAACAAAACTACAATTAGTTTCTTTTCTAAGTGATAAGGTTGTTTACTCAAAATTCAGTGTAATTTTGTGATTTTAGTTAGACTAAAAGCCCTCCCCCTGCATTGTTTCTTTCAGACTTTTTTCTGGGGGGGGGGGGTGTTATAACTGAGTCCAACCCCCTCGTCCCACCGCTAGTGGGTATCTACCCCACCCCCTCCTGCCCTACACCTGAACTGTAACATCCTGTACTGCCCCTCCGCAGCTCCCCCCCCCCCCTGAACTGGGACACAATGCATCAGTCCCACCTAGCATTTGCTGGCGCCCGTCCCTCCCCCTCGCTGGAATGCTGGGGTCATGCAGGGGTTAAGGAACCCAGGGTCAAGCTTGGCCAGAAAGATAGAACAGTTGAACGTTAGGCTGGTTAGAATGTAGTCGTGTTTTTGTGTTCTTGTAAAGTGTGGCCCCTAAGGCCGGCCGCTGTTAATGAACTATTTCTGTTTTCCTTAGACCATATAGAGTGTAGTTTGAGTATCTATTAATTAAAGTTGTTCAGCTGAAATTGTGTTGGTGTCTTCTTCAACAATCAAGTAATATACAGTGTCTAATTCGCCACACAACTGTTTAACCTCTCACTGCAGTCATCACCACCATCAAAACAAACCATACTGATGACGTCGTTCATAACATTTGGTGGAGCAGCAAAACGACCTATTACATTCTGGTGGAGTAGCAAAAAGGACATTCATAATATTCGGATCAAGGAGCAAAACTATCTAGATTTCTCTAACAGCGAACCGACTTACAATATTTTGATAGAGCAGCTAAAATTATTCATAACGTTTTTGGTTGAGTAGCAAACTGACTTTTAAAGAACGTCGAAACAGGGTAAAAGAACTTTTGTGAAATTTTTTTTTCAACTTCGGTGATTCTCGAAGAGGTACAGATCTAGATCTACTATTTTTTGTCACGCCACTGCCACACATCGTCTCTGTTTAGCGTCAAGTTCGTTGTTGTCAAGTTTTACGTAGATCTACATAAGTGGATGGAACTTTTGTTTCAAAATCCGTGTGACAGAACTGTCACTGTTAGTCTATTTTCAAGTTTTGTGCATGAATTAGGACTTTGATTAGCTTGGACTACCTACTTTAATTGCCTTTGGTGACTTGTTAGAATTGAAGAATTTATTTTTCCAACATTGAAGTAAGTGACAGTGATTAGTGAGAGTGACTACTGACTAAATCGTCATTGTTTATAGTCTAATGGCATCTGAACTGTTATGATGTGAAGTACCCCTCCACCCATGATGATGTGAAATATCCCTACACCCCTGATGTCCCGTGATGATATGGAGTATTCGTGTACCCCTAATGACGATATGAAGTACCCTACCCCACTGAAGTTAAAATGAAGTGTTCATGTGTCGATGTCATCCCACAGCAGTTCCAGATGTCCAAGCCGACGAATGTAGATTTAGAAATGTTAAGCTCCAATTTGTTGTAACAATAATAAAAGGCGTTGTTCCTCTTCTGTAAGTCGTATGCCAAAGTCCAGCAGTCAGTTAAGTCTATAATTCTTTAGTTTAGGTCAATTAGCTGCATTTGTTAGAAGTCATAGAAGTCAGCAATAAGGAATTGTTTGTTGAATTTTTTTTGTTAGATTAAATTTTTTGTTGTGCTAGAGATTGTTTACATTTAATCAATGCACTTTTAAATCATTTCTGTCTTTATTTTTTCGATGTGCCAGCTAAAAGCTTATATACCAATCATAAAGTTAGGATCCTTTACAAGACAATCATAATTTTTATAACCTGATTTGTTAAAAAATTTCTATTATCAACCAGTTGACACACTGTTTAAATAACGAGATGCCTATGATATACACTATACTTGGAGGATTTATTTTCTTAATCGTGTGATGATTGAACCCTGTAGCTTCGAGTCTTTGTTTTTTTTATGTTGTGAAATTTTGAAGCGGTCAATCGATCCACTTACATGACGGTAAGCTTGTGACGGTTGAGTTACCGCTAGTTAGCTAGATAGGACGATGATGTGTGAAGCGGTCAATCGTTCCACTTACTTGACGGTAAGCTTGCGACGGTTGAGTTTCCGCTAGATAGATAGATAGGACAAGAATGAGATGATGTTTAGAGACTGATGATGCAGTCTATGCTTTTAATGGGTTTTTATGATGGTATATCGATGTGTTGCCGAGTATATCTTGTCTATTGATTTTTTGGGTTTTGTTGGAAAATATTCCTCTAAGATATTTTGTATGTTGTAGAGAAACTAATTATAATTGTGGCCATAGTACTTAGTTTTACCAACATGAGAAGTTTTATCTTGGAGAAATGATGAAGTGTTGCTTGTTGTGTATTGAGGACTACTTAACCTTATATTACGCTGAAATTTATAGATCTATAACCATTTTTTTCCCCATTAGATACATATAGTCGTACAGTTTAAAAAAAAAAAAAACTACTGAAATAGATGACATGAAAGAGTTCATTTGTATATGCTATAGCGACAAATCCTAGACACGAACTATATCATGTTGTACAAACTGCTTTAGATTTAGCATTACCCAGTAGCATTTATTATTGAACTTTGTTAGCTGTTGATTGTTTAGAGTTAAGACACAGTAGTGTCACCTATTGAGGAAGCTTTATTATTTTTTATCGTACTAAGATGTTTGAAGTGTTGCTTTCCTACCTATGTTATTACTGCTCTTAGTGTATTAGTTTGTAGTTTGTTGCATGTGATAGATCATGTATGTAGAGTGTAAGCCTCGCTGGCTTTGCCAGCTTGTCAAAGGAGAGGGGAGTGTTATAACTGAGTCCAACCCCCTCGTCCCACCGCTAGTGGGTATCTACCCCACCCCCCTCCTGCCCTACACCTGAACTGTAACATCCTGTACTGCCCCTCCGCAGCTCCCCCCCCCCCCCTGAACTGGGACACAATGCATCAGTCCCACCTAGCATTTGCTGGCGCCCGTCCCTCCCCCTCGCTGGAATGCTGGGGTCATGCAGGGGTTAAGGAACCCAGGGTCAAGCTTGGCCAGAAAGATAGAACAGTTGAACGTTAGGCTGGTTAGAATGTAGTCGTGTTTTTGTGTTCTTGTAAAGTGTGGCCCCTAAGGCCGGCCGCTGTTAATGAACTATTTCTGTTTTCCTTAGACCATATAGAGTGTAGTTTGAGTATCTATTAATTAAAGTTGTTCAGCTGAAATTGTGTTGGTGTCTTCTTCAACAATCAAGTAATATACAGTGTCTAATTCGCCACACAACTGTTTAACCTCTCACTGCAGTCATCACCACCATCAAAACAAACCATACTGATGACGTCGTTCATAACAGGGGGCACTAGAAATTTTCGGGGGGGGGGGGGGGGCGGTAGACTTTCTTCGGGGGGGGGGGGGGGCGAACACTGTTAAAAGTATATATTTTTTCTATATAAATTTCATTTTGTTCGGGGAGGGGTCCGCCCCCCCCCCCCCCCGAAGAGATGCCTGGAAGAAAATCTGCCCCCCTGCACCAACTTGATAAAAGTCACTAACGTATTTTACGGTTAAACAATCGTACAATACGTGTAAATACAATTGGTTGTTTTTATAAGTGGTAACGTTTATGGACTTACTAATCTAGTGTAAATTCTTTCAATTTTAGTTTAGAAAAAGCGCCCCCCCCCCCCCAACATCTAGGAAAAACTTGAAAACGATTTTGCCGGTCACTGTTTCTTAAGAGTATATGTTTTACAGTTAATAATCAAGGTAGAAAACAATTAAATCAGTATGTAAAGGCATGTAGCTATTACTTTTCTTAACTTAGACTGTTTATAATTGAAAACTGCAGCATAAAATCAGCTTTAAAAAATTGTTCCACCCCTTTTGCCCCCCCCCCTCCCCAAGCTACGTCTCTGCACTAATGTAGATCTAGATCTACATGAAACTACATGTAAATGCATTTTGACAAATTGTAAGACATTC